CTCAATCAGTTCTGCTCAGATTCATCAGGAGAATGAAGACCTATGACCTAAGACACCCATTACAGAATAGGGAATGGCTTCATCTCACTCTATGTCCCTGGGAAGGTAACAGTTATATTCCATCCTTGGGAAGAATGGTCACTGAAATAATTTTCTGTAGGGTTAATTCTCTTGCAAAAACCCAATTGAGAGCCCAACCAGTGTGACCCAGTGGATGAGCGTTGACCTATGAACCAGGAGGTCACAGTTTGATTCCTGACCAGTCACATACCTGGGTTTCAGGCTCAATCCCCAGCTGGGGGCATGCAGGAGGCAGCTGATCAATGATTCTCTCTCATCATTGATGTTTCTATATTTATTTCCCTCTCCCTTCCTCTCTGAAATCAATAAAATATATGTATTTTTAAAAAAGCAATTGAGAAAAACTACTAGAGTGTAGCCCTTTGAATGATTGAATTTCCTCAGGCCCCGGAGTCCTTCCTATGACCAACTGAAGTTTCTCCTGCTTTCATTTAATACCATCTCCCTTTGTTCAGTCCCCCTGAAACTCGGAGAATTTATTAGCATGTCTCTCATTAAACGCTAGCATAGCAGGAAATTAAATCCATCTGGTATAACCAGCTGTTCTGAAAACTCTCCTGGTTGCTCTGTCGACTTTATGGTTGCCAAGGTGATTGCAAATTGATTGTTTGATGGCTTGTTCTAGGATCATTCCAGGTATTGATGTTAAGGTTAGACATCAACCATCCCAAGAAATGGATGTTAGAGACCTGCTGTGATGTAAAGGAAACTCTGAACTCAAGTGAACAAGATATTAAATTTGAAGAGAAGAAACCTTAGGAGACCTCTAGAGAATTCTCCCAAAAGTTATAGGACAGTCTTGGGGAAGAGAGTAGAGACTCGTTTTGAGTGGCCTCAAGGGGGCAGACTTAAGATCTATGGGTAGGTGCTCCAAGAAGATGGATTTCAGTTCAATATCTGAAGAAACATACACTGACAAGAGCTGGTGAGCTGGTCCAAACTGGAGAGGGTTAAGAGTTTGGTGGACACATTGAGTAAAGGGCTGACTAGACTGTGAGGTGCTTCATTCAAAACCACTGGCCGCCCACTCAGCTCTATAACTGCATGATAGCGGTGACTTTCATTGTCATTCTTCTTTCTCAGAAATTGAGTTTTGTCCCCCTTTTCATTTTTTTTTTTTTCACAGCAACTTAGATTTAAAATCAATTACTCTTACCCATGTTCAAAGGGTCCTTTCACAATAGGTTATAAAAAGACAAATATGCATCCTATATACACATTTTGACTCAAAAAGAAGATAACAGTAAGAGCTATCTCTTTCCCAAGGCAGTATGCTAAGAGTTTTCCATGCATTTAATCTTATTTAATGTGAATTTCATGAGATGATACTGTACAGAGATAATATTACAGACAAACATTTAAGACCGTCATCTAGAAAGAAATCCACAGATGCTTGTCTGCTCCGAGGACTGTAAAATGGAAGGAATCTTGTCTAAACCAAGACCAGGATAAGATTTTCCTAAGCTATCCAGCTACTGGTGTGCGGGCATTGCCTGGCTCCACAAAAACTTGCTCCTGTTCAAACATTCTTTCGGTCAATCAAGATATGTGTGTGTTTTTCCCGTTTGGCAGGCAGGAAACGATAAATCGGTGTCTTAAGGGATTGACAAAATATGTAATTCGACACTATCAATCACCATAAAAGAGCCTGCTTTTGCTTACATCAGATAAAGGTGTATTTAGTCTACTAAGAACTTCCCAGTTCAACTGTAGCATTAACTCTGTGAGGCCGCAAGTCCAGTGAGCAGTGCCAGCGCCGCTCCTCCGCTGGGGAATGACAGGACAGCCTTAGGCACTCAAAGTAGGTGAGGCTAGAGGCAGACCAGGCGGGACTCAATCTTCCCTGCTCCCTTGGACTGGATGATTCTTATAACTGCATTTTAGATTCCTTATCTGCAAACTGGAGTGGGGGGGGGGGATAAACTAAATGATCTATTAAACCTCTTTCTCATTCTAACTCTCTAATCCTATAATACTAAAAGGAAGTCAGGATTAGACTCTGGGCAAGACAAAACCTTGAAATTCCTACCAACTTTGGTGATGGGGGAGGGGAGAGAGAGAGAGAGAGAGAGAGAGAGAGAGAGAGATTGTCTATTCTCTCAGGCTGGTGGGCAAAGGTCTGGAGCTTCCTCAATGACATGAGCAGTGTCCCCTCTTGATTTAGTGTTTGTGGGTGTTCTTATTTTTTTTTTTTAAAGGTGTTTCCCAAAATATTCAAACTTGTGACTTATGTTTATATCTAAATAATCAATCCGTGCTTGTCCTAAAAGGACTTTCTTTGTTCTGTTTTGTTATGGGGAGGTTAAACAACGTGTGTATTTATTCCATAGCTCTGCAAACAGGAAGGAGCCTTTAAATGACTTAGTTCCACAATTCGGGGTAGACCTATATTTAAAGAAACACTGTTGCATAACAGGCACTGCCTCTTCCGAAAAAGCATCATGTCAGAACCAATTTTGGAAAACACAAATATGAGGTGGGTATATTTTGAAAACTATGTGAACATAATAGGGCCTTAATTAATACTGGTGGCTTTTATGGGAACTATTTGTTTTTTAAGGCATCTGTCTTGCAAAACCCATTTCTGCTTGTAAAGGAAGCTAAAGGGGGTGTGTAGGTTAAATTCTGTTTCTGGGCTTTGCTTCTAAAGTATTTTTATTGTTCCCTTAGAGAAGACAAACAACATATTCTGAACTGCTAAGTAAATTATATAAAATTTTATTCATTACCCACATTTGTGCAGTATTTATAACCCATAGTTGTGTGACATTTATATGTGCAAAAGCATTTTCACCTTTAATATATCATTCTATTCTCACTCAGCCCCAACCAATGAACTGACTTTATTCCTAGTTTAGAGATGGAGGAAATGAAACCCCATCTTTTTCACCTGCCTGGAAAGTGAGCTAGAAAGTTCTAAGGTGGGGGTTCTGGAATCTGGATATCCCAATTCCAGTTTTTCCCTATACCCCATCCCTTTCTGCACTGAAAGGATTAAAAGATGGGCTTTATACTCAGGCAGGCCTGGCTCTGCTTCTGCCTCTGGTACTTCCTGGCCCTGTGCCCAGGGAAAGCTATATTCCTCTTTGAGCCCCAGTTGTGAATTAAGCTAACAATAGTACTCACCGACCCCCTCCTCACACCATGGGACTGTGGGAAGAATTAAATGGAATAATGTATGAAAGGCACATAGCAGAATGTTCCATAAATGTTATCCATTGCTGTTATGTAATCGACATAGTACGTTGGTTACACTGTAGGAAATACTTTGTTGTTGTTTTTTTTTAAAAAAAAATCAAACACACACACACAACACTACTAATACATGTGAAATCAAACCTGAAAAGGGAATTTCTTTTTAATAAAGTCATATGCCAGAGGATAGTACTGTATTTTTAGACAAAGACTCTAATTGGAAAGCTTCCCCTGATATTTTTATTTAAGAAGAAATGATCTTTTGCTTTCTGTGCCTGCAAAACGTCCTCAGTGCCAGACATAGTCATAACCTTTGAAATTGCTATTTTTCAAAGTTGGAAGCACAGAATAGTGGCAATTTCAAATGGCTCGCCCCAACAGACCAACAAACTTCCCAGCAGATGAAAAGAGAGGAACTTGCTAGTGGCAATGGGATTGCCGAAAAAGTTGAGGTTGAAGTGAAAACTATTCCATTTTCAATGCGTTTTCATTCCAACAGAAAAATGAGGGAGTGGTGCCACATTCCCAAGAATTAAAAATTAAAGCAAATCACTTGCTCTCTCAGTTCCCAAACACATCCTACCCATGCGTATACTATACTCCGGCTCCAGATGAAACCCGGAGGGTGAAATCATATGTCTCAATGCCTGCGCATTTCCAAGGAGGGCACCCAAAGTACTTGACAAGCGAGCGAGCGCGCTGAGGAAATCAACAGCTGTTGAAGTCACCTCCTGCGGTCTTGCCAAATGTTTGAAAGGGAATCTGCCTGCGTCCCTGTGCGTGTGGCTGGGAAGGAGAGGGGGACGGCGTGGAGGTCCGGGTGCACGGTGAGGGGTTCGGAGTATCTGGATGGGGCGCCCTGCCGGCCCCCAAGCGCGCGCTTGTGTGTTGTTTACTCCTGTGTGTGCCCGTGCCTCTGCTCCCCGGCGCTTCTGTGTCTCTGTGCGGGGCAGGGTGACTTTGCGCCTGTGGGCTCCGGAGCTCTCCGGGTGTTTGTCGGTGTGCGCTGGACGGGTGTGTCTCCGCTGATGGTTGTGGTTCCGTATAAGCCCGAGCATGTCGGCCGGGGTGCTAGGGTGCCTGTCAGTGCGTGTCTCTCTGGGCACTCGCCTAAGTTTCCGAATGTGGGGGGAGTGTCCGCGTGCCGCCCTCTGACCTGAGATCTCCGTCCCCACCAGCGCCCAGGGCGGACAGGTAAGCAGCCACCAAAGAGCCCAAAGCTCCCAGGGTGGCTGTCAGCGTGCCAGCCCCAGCCAGCGCCAGCCCTCCGGGACCAGCCGGGGGGAGCCAGGAGGGGTGGTGGCCCGCGCCCGCCCGCCTGACCCGAGGAGCTGGGCTCCGCCCTGGCCCGCCCAGGAGGGGGCGGGAGAGGGGAGGGACGGGGAGGGGCGGGGAGGGGCAGGAAGGGGTGGGGGCCTCGCCCCTCTGAAGAGGCCGGTGAGCCATTGGCGGAAAGTTCCCGCACGTCACCTGGGAGGCCGTTCCTCTAAAGTCCTGTGCACATAACGGGCAGCGCGCACTTGGAGGCGGCTGCTCCGGATCTAGGCTGGGGCCGACGGGCACCGCGAGCCCGGGGCACCCCGCGAGCTGAGCGCAGGACGGGCTCCCACCACACCCACCCCACGGCGGCTGAATGAGGCTTCCAGGCGCCCCGTCGCTGGCCGCGGCGCCCGGCCGGAGGTCCGCCCCCTGAGCCCTTGCGCTCACCTGCCAGCCCGCGCGCCATGGGGCAGCCGGGCAACCACACCACGGTCTTCTTGCTGGCGCCCAACGGGAGCCACGCGCCACCGGGCCAGGATCTCGCGCAGGAGCGGGACGAGACGTGGGTGGTGGGCATGGCCATCCTCATGTCGCTCATAGTCCTGGCCATCGTGTTCGGGAACGTGCTTGTCATCACGGCCATCGCCAAGTTCGAGCGCCTGCAGACGGTCACCAACTACTTCATCACCTCCTTGGCCTGTGCCGACCTGGTCATGGGCCTGGCGGTGGTGCCCTTCGGGGCCAGCCACATCCTTATGAAAATGTGGACCTTCGGCAACTTCTGGTGCGAGTTTTGGACGTCCATCGACGTGCTGTGTGTCACGGCCAGCATCGAGACCTTGTGCGTGATCGCCGTGGACCGCTACTTCGCCATCACGTCGCCCTTCAAGTACCAGAGCCTGCTGACCAAGAACAAGGCCCGGATGGTCATTCTGATGGTGTGGATCGTGTCCGGCCTCACCTCCTTCCTGCCCATCCAGATGCACTGGTACCGGGCCACCCACCAAGAAGCCATCAAGTGCTATGCCAAAGACACCTGCTGCGACTTCTTCACGAACCAGGCGTATGCCATCGCCTCCTCCATTGTCTCCTTTTACCTGCCCCTGGTGGTCATGGTCTTCGTCTACTCCAGGGTCTTCCAGGTGGCCAAAAGGCAGCTCCAGAGGATCGACAGGTTCGAGGGCCGCTTCCACGCCCAGAACCTCAGCCAGGTGGAGGATGGGAGGGGCGGCGGTGGGCATAGCCATCGCAGGTCCTCCAAGTTCTGCTTGAAGGAACACAAAGCCCTCAAGACTCTGGGCATCATCATGGGCACGTTCACCCTGTGCTGGCTGCCCTTCTTCATCGTCAACATCGTGCACGTGATCCAGGATAACCTCATCCCCAAGGACGTTTACATCCTCCTCAACTGGGTGGGCTACGTCAACTCGGCCTTCAACCCCCTCATCTACTGCCGGAGCCCCGACTTCAGGAGCGCCTTCCAGGAGCTCCTGTGCCTGCGCAGGTCTTCCCTGAAGGCCTATGGGAACGGCTACTCCAGCAGCAACGACAAGACGGAATGCACGGTGGTGCCCAGTGGATACCACCTGGCACAGGAGAAAGACGGCAAACTGTTGTGTGAGGATGCCTCGGGCAGGGAAGACTTTGCGAGCCGCCAAGGTACTGTGCCAAATGATAGCATAGATTCACAGGGGAGGAATTGTAGTACAAACGACTCGCTGCTCTGATGCAGCTTTTCTACTTTTTTTTTTTTTTCCAGACCCCTCTTCCTCGACAGGACACTAAACAGACTCTTTTAACTTAAGTGTAATAAACCTAGGATGAAATTGTATAGAGATGTGCAAAAGGAAGGACATCCTTCTGCCTTTTTTATTTTTTATTTTTGTAAGCTGTAAAAAAAAAAGAGAGAGAGAGAGAGAGAGAGAGAGAGAGAGAGAGCGCACCTATTGGGAGCGATTGTGTCTTGTACAGTTCAGTTCCTCTTTGCATGGAACGTGTCCGTGTATGTCTGAAGGGCTTCGGTCCCAGAGGACCCGGGGCTGCTATGTTTTTTGATGACTTTTCTGCGTATCTACCTCATCAGTCAAGTATTAGGGGTAATTTATTGCTGCTGGTAACATGTATCTGAAGGAGACCTTCCTTCCTGCCCCCTCGGATGGAGGATCCGGAGTATCCTGGACCTGACAGCTGTGAACACGCTCCTCTTATTTGCTGAAACAGGGTGTTGTGGGGCAGGCATTTCAGGGGTAGCTTCGGTTGTTTTCCTGAGCAAAGTCTAAAGTTTACAGTAAATAAATTGTTTGACCATGACTTCATTGCACCTGTTTCTCCAAAAACCCCTTGACTGGAGTGTGCTTGCCTCCCCCCCACTGGAAACCACAGGTAACTATTTGTAATAACTGCCCGGTGACTTAATGTGGAATGGCACAGGAATGGCATGCCCTGATTGCTTAACCCTTTCACTGGCCTTCGGTTCTGTCGCCTGTCACCTCGGTCTCTCCTGATGCTCGGGCCCCAGGTCAGTCCAGCCGGCTCCCAGCCGAGCTCGTCTCGCTGGTCCTATGGTGATTACTCTTTGTTGTTACATCAGAAACACTGACTCATGGGCATGGAGTTAGGAGCATCTGTTGTGTCCCTTCGTGCACCCCCACCACCCACCTTCTGGTTCTACTTGCTTAGTAGCTGCTTATGTTTATTGTTTGGCTGGGTCTCAGAGTGGGGAATTTTTGAGCTGCACCAGGGCTTGGCATCTGAGGGATAAGTCAGACGTTGATGTAAAAAAAAAACAAAAAACCCCAAAACAAACAACTACTAAACTTCACCCTGTAATTTCAAGGGAAACTGAAAGGACATAGGTCAGAGGGAGAAAGGCTGGAAGCCACTTAGCTGATGAACACCCCATGACCTAGAAACAGGGTTCTAACCCCTCCTCTCTCTTTACTTCTGTCCCCTTTCCCTTCCACTCTTCTCCCTTTAAGATAAACCAAGATTTCTCAGCCTCAGCACTAGTCTCTGGACCAGGTCTGTGGTGGGGGAACGTCCTATTCATTGTCTGATGTTCAGCACCATCCCTGGCCCCTCCCCATGAGATGCCAGCAACACCCTCTGAATTGTGACAACCAGAAATGTCTCCGGACATTGCCAAAACCCCCTTGAGGTAAGGGGGGAGGGGGAGGGGTTGCCCCTGGGAGAGAGCAGATATAACTCAAAAACCTAAACAGATTTCTAGATCCTGTCTGATGTAAGCACTTTATTTTGCGCAGCCATGGAGAAGGATTTTTCATGGTTCGCCGGTGAGTGACAGACCCTGGGCCAGGGCTCTGCTCACTCCATTCTGCTGCCTTCCCAGCGCACCTCCCAGCTGCCCAGATACTGACTATGGGCTGAGCGGTTGGGGAGGGTGTATCAATGGAAGCCAGGCCTGGGAGCTGTTACTGCCTGTTTGTGGAAAGATAATGCTGTTAGGAGGCGCATGAGGGGAAAATCACAAAAGTAAACACATTTCTTCTCTCACCCCCTTTCTATTTTTGCCTGGGTGTCTGAGCCAGGGCTTGGCCCAGGTCTGACCGGGTGGAGCGTCCTCCTTGGCAACGCGAGCCTGGAAATCAGCCTGCAGGGTTCATTGCCATTTCACTCACTCATAAAGCTGATTCCACTTTTCCCTTCTGTCCCAGCCACGGTCCCCAACCAGAAAAGCACTGGCCCCTTCGGCTTCCTGTCAGTTCAGTGGTGGGTGTCTGGGTGAGCCCCGAGCTCTCGGGAGAAACGTGGGTGCCTGTGACTTTGGAATGAACTGTGGAGAATTGGAGGGTGTCCGCCATTCAGCACCTTTACTCTTTCTCCAAAGGCTTTCCTACCTGTTATCACATTCTCCTCCTGCTCTGGGCCCCACACCCAGAGAGGCAGGCAGTTTCTCCAGCTGCTCCCCACCCTCCTCGTAGCCTCATGGGATCTGGGGCTTGGAAGAGCTCATAGAAAGCATTCAGCATTGGCAGAGACCAAAAGCCTACACGGGGGGAATGACCTGCTCAAGGTAAGAAGCCAAGGACATGAAAGATGGGGCTGCAGCCAGGGTACCTGGCTGTCAGGAGGTCCGGGAACTGGTGTATTCTGCCCGTTGAATGCTGCCCGTACGCTCAATTGTGGAGGCTTTGACTGGGGCTGTCACATAGCAAATTCATTTCAGTGGGTGTGTTTGTTGCTTTGACCCAAAATTATGAACACGAAATGCAGGCGATAAACAATCTGCTGTAGGGACAAGAGAAAAAATGTTCTTTGACTCAGCAAGAGTCCTCAGCAGATATTGGTCAGCAATTAGGGAATTATACTATGTATGCTTGTTTGGTTAGAGGAGCATCTGATGTGATGTCAGTTAAAAGTTCAGCTATGAATGTTAATTTAGATTTCCCAGAAAAGGGGAGTTTAGCCATATTCCTGTCCCTTTAAGAATTCTTTAAGAATTTGCTCAGCTTTAAGGGTCTTGACAAGCAGGAGCATTTTAGGGTTGTCTCAGTCCCTTGCTTTCTGCCCCCTTTTGCTTCGATTTGTTTCTTTTGGGGCAGGAATTTGTCAGTGTCCCTCTTTGCCTCTGTTTGCTGACAGGTTGGTTACATAAGATCTGTGTTGGCTTCTTGGTCATAAAGTTTTCTTTGTCTGGACAGCAAGTCCTCAGAGTCTGTCAAATGAGAACCTTATCCTGAGATGCAAATTGACAGGTGTGCAAAGTGGCAGGACCTCCACCTCCCCACTCCCAGATTGTTACTGGGGGAAGGAACCAGAGAAAAGGAGTTGTGATTGGGGGAAAGAATCTGGGGGAAATGAGCTTGGAAATAGGAACAAGATGCTTTGAATCTGGTGAACATACTACCAAAGGAAGCTTAGACCAGAATAAGTTGGGGGCTAGTTATAGAGCATCTATTTTGTGCAGAATGAGAAAAATATAGGGTTCAGTCTCTGCCTCCTACAGCATCATATTAATAATATTAAACAGATCTGTTGTTTGGAATCTTGCTGAATGTTAGGGGCTGTGCTAAGCACTTTTTTAGGCATTATGTCATCTGGTAGGTAGCATAATTGTCCTCATCTAACAAATAAGAAAACAGAGGTTTGGAAAGGTTAAGTCACTTTCCAAAGCCACACAGCTGGCCAGTTGCAGAGTCAGGACTGGAACCCAGGACCTTGTGAGTCCAGTGCCCATGGAGCCCAGCACACATGCAAACCAGGAAGCAGCATGAGGCAGCTTGTCATCTGCGCCAGGACAAGTGTAAGAACTGGAAATGCAATACCTTGTTGAGAGAAGAGGGAGAGTTGCTGTGGGTTGGGGCACGGAGGAATGTTCCCTCTGAAGCATGTGACTGCATGGTTGCTGAGGACTGGGACAGGAAACCAATCACTGGCATGCCTAGTGCGCTTCTCTGAATCTTTGCTTTGTCTTTTCATCAGAGAATTAGTCCAAACTGAAAAGAGGATGTGAAACTTTTAAACAAGCACAGGGTAAAGCAGAAGCACAACCTGCCTGTGTCCTGGCAAATTTGTTTTTGGTTCCAAGGCTGGGAAGATCTCCTAAACTGAGCACTTAGCTGAACCTTATGGAAAATGTGCAGGCCTACGTGGCTCTATAGGTGTGTTATCCATTCTGAAGTATCATCTGGGCAAGGGAGATAGGTGATCTGACAGCAAAGAGTAAGGGAGGGTCAGTGCACTTTGAATGAGACTTTTCATTGACAATTTACTGTACACTAAATTCAGCTCTGTACTAATCCCTGCCTCACTGACTGTGCGAATATAATGCGAAAGAGGCATTTTTGACATACCTAAGAGAACAAACTTCCTGAGCACTTTCAAGAACTTGAGAAGTATGGGTGTCTTATGAATAATAGGAGCCAAGGCGAGGTGAAAAGAAGCCTGAATCTATAAAATGGCCTGTGCAGGTGGTCTCTAAGCTCTCCGAATATTTACATCTATAGTGATATCAAGATAGATATAGATATAGATATAAATATAGATATGGAAATATAAATGGAAATGGATATTGATATGGGTAGATACAGATACAGATATAGATATAGATATAGATATTGATATGGCTAGATACAAATATAGATATAGATATGGATATGAATATAGAAATGGATAGATATAGATATGGATATGGAAATGGAAATGGATATAGATATAGAGGCTAAGTAGAGACAGTAGTTTATATTTTTAATTAGAGTTGATGACATTTATCAAATAAATAATGGTTGAATATCCTGGTGGAGGTCAGCCTGCAGAAAAAGACTATTGGTACATGATAACTGCCTTCAGATATTTTCAAACCATTGGAGGAAGAGCTCTTTAGTATGGAAATAAGAAGATAAGCAGAACCTCAGAGGAAGGTAGATTCCAGCTCAGGTGAAGGAAAGACTTCTAAGAGTGAAATAGGTTACCTATCAGAACCGTGAGCCTTCTGTCTTCGGGAGCATTCAGGAAAGCCCAAATAAAGTTCAGTGCAGGACTCAGCACACAGAGTTCCTGCGCTGAGCGGGCGCGGGACTAAGCTCCTTTCAAGTCTGTGAAGTCTGTGTCCTTGAAAACAATAGACCTAAATGTTTTTAAAAAGTATTCAGACCATTCCCTAATCCCAGCTACGCTGCTCCCAATTCAATTGGATTTCAGAGGTTTCATTGCATTCCTAAACAGGAAAACCTCTGAGGGAAATCAGGATCTCAGTGGTCTTTGGCCCTGAAAAATCCAGAAATAGAGCAGGAGGGTTAAGCAGTTTTCCAAACTATTAGACCTTTTCATCAGCTGCTCTTCCCATGCCTTTTGCAAATGACCTACTAACTCCCAGAGAGAGACTAATGAGAGCTGCACAGTCCTGTCTGCAAAGGCTATTACATCCTTCCCCACCCTCGGAATCATTGCACTTCCTGTGGTCTTTCCGTCGTCACCCTCAGGGCCTGGAAGGAAGGGAGGCGGGTCCATGGCCAGCACCAAGCACTTCAGCGCTCTCTGGTCTCAGAGGTCCTAATTGGCTGGGCAACCTCAGGCAGGCTGCTTCCCTGCTCTAGGCCTGTCTCCTCATCTCTGGTGAGAAATACCTGGGTTGATATCTATAAGATTTCAGGAAGTCTTCAGTGCTGTGCACCTGGCTTCACTGCTTTTATTTTAAAAGCACTTTCTTTTCCTTATTAAAAAGGTAATAGAATTTATGGTAGAACATTAAAAAAATTATGCAAGCACAAAATGAGCTCAATCACAGATAACATTACCGGCTAGACACAGCCATTGCTTCCTGGGATACGTATGCTCCCAATCCTTGCCCTACGCTTGGCTATACAACGTGTATAAATATATTTTTTTAATAAAAATGGAATTAGATTATTCATAGAATTTTAAATCCCCCACTAATGCTTTTTACATGCCTTGTTGTGTGTATTGTATGCATATAATATGTTCCGGGTATGATAATGCCCACAGGTCTACTAGCCTCGCAGGAACAGTAGTCAGCAGTTTCGAATGATCACCCCCCTCAGAGCATCTAGATTGGGAGATCTGAGCTGGGGCTCCAGAATCTGCATTTTATAACCCACACAGGAGTGAAATCATAGCTTTCTTAGCTTTTTTTTTTTTCTGACTGGTTTATTTCACTTAGCACAATGTTCTCCAGGTCCATTCATGTTGTTGCAAATCTGAAATTCATGAATACAAACAGCAGTGTGGTGGTTGCCACATGGAAGGGGGTCGGGAGAGAGGGAGGTCCTAATATTAAGGTGACAGGAGAAGATTTGACTTTGGGTGGCAAGTACACAGTGCATCGTACAGATCTTGTGTCATAGAAACTCACACCTGAAACTTCCATATGTTCATGTTGACCAATGTCACCTCAACCAATTTAACCAATAAATACTGTAAATATATATTTTTAAATCTGCATTGTAGCAAGTTTGCCCATTTTTTTCCTGCATGGGTGGTCCATGGACCACATTTTGAGGAACAGGCTTAAAAAGATGCATTTTATAAATGAACCAGAATGCTCCCTCCCCACCCCTTGCCGGTGGATGAAAAGATGTTTCTATACTTGTCTCTTTGAAAGCACCCTTGCTGCACCTGGGCCCTGACTTTGAATGCACGCTCTCGGCACCAGGGCAGGGCTCTCGCCGCCTTGTTGTGTGCCGTTGTGCCGACCTGTGGGCCTGTGTTAACATCCGTCCGTTCAAGTTAGACGGTGACCCATACCCGTTGTTTGAGAAGTGCAGCAGCGGGTCTCCGTTCCACAGAGCACCTCTTGCAATCACAGTGGCTCATGACTGCATTTGTCTCCATCTCACCAGAAAGGAAACTGAAACTTAGAGGAGTTACGTTGTCGAAGATCAGGACTCCCTGGAGCAGAGCCAGGGGTGGTGACCCAGAGCCCCTGTGCTCAGGGTCAGGTCGGAGAGGAGAGAGAGACCCCGCTGGGAGGACGTTTCTTACGGGTGCATTTTGGTGATTCTCCGGGGATTTTTCCAGAGAGGCTGGGTTAATGTGTGAGCTTGGGACTAAGGGGCAAGCCTATGCTGTTTAAGTAGGTTGTGGCCAAGTAGCAGCTGGGAAGCCAGGCTGCCCTGAGAGCTGGCAGCTCGGTGTCCTTCACCTGAGTCGGCTCAGCAGGACTGAGCTGCCCCTGGCAGGCCGGCGGCAGAGGGAGGCACCTACACCAGCCCACGGCTTTGCGCTGAGTCAGATCACTGCGCAAACCCTGGACACCTGGAAATGGAGTGCTGTTCCCATTTCTCTGCCCAGGTCTGTGTCAACATCTCAGGTTTCACCTTAGAGATTACCAGGGTGGGATGGGCACTGAGCAGGCCCTTCACAAGGGAGCCATGGTGGCCAGCGGCGGGTCAACCATGAGGTAGGACCAGGGCCAGGCGAGGACCATCTCGTCTGCTTGTCCCATTCTTATTTGCCCGGTGCTGCGAGGGAGGACTAGAGTTGCTGAATGTGTTCATTTAGCCAGGAAGCGAGACCGATCTATGAAAATCACAGCAGTAGCACCTATGACAAAGCAAAAGCGGAATCCCAGGGAGCCCCCGTGTTCTTTCCCACCCTCACTATTACTGATCTTGCAGCCCGGGCCTGTGCCCCAGCACAGCTGCCCTTTCCGGGGAGTGGCCCTCGCCATCCCCATTCTGTCTCCATTCTCCTGCCCACTTTTCTCTTCATAAAACGCCTATTCGATGTCTCTAAATACTGCAGACAAGCCTGCTTTGTTCGGTTTGTTTTGTTTTGCTGGGGAGGTACTCACTGTTCTCGTGAGATGCATTGCACCCATAAGCCTGCTCTGCCTACAGTCAGGCTCCTGTGCCGGTTTATGTTCCCACCTCGTTTCTCTAGAAATCCAGCTGCTCACCTCGCTCCCTCAGCCCCAGAGAACGGCGGCTCATGCTCCAGGGCCCCACTGGCCCACCTTAGCAATCTCTTCCTCAAGGACCGTGGAAGAGCTAGCAGGGTCCGTTTTGGTGTGAATCTCCTGACAGTATTTTATTTTTCTGCAGGAGGACCCAAACCTGGCAGAGCCCCAACAGGGGTTGGGGGGGGAATTCTGAGAAAATGCACATTCCTGATGCCCCTCCCCCTCTCCCTGCACCCTCCATCTCCCTCTGGTGCCCCTGAGATTCTGATCTAACAGGCTGTGGTTGAGGGCCAGCGATTGGGTTTTGCCACAGCTTCCTCTAGAGGAGGTGAGTCAGGTGCTCTGAGGATCGCATTCGGGGACCTAGAAATCACACCGTCTTCCCCTTCCCACCCTTCCCTGCTTCAGAGGATGTAGGACACAGGCTTGGAAAACAGGATCCCGCACAGCTGCATGCATCCACCAACATAATGCTGCTGCGAACCAACGGAGTTCCAATTTTCCATTGTTATCAAATAAAACAATGCAGACGAAAACAACTTAAAAACACAGCGTGACTCGAGAGAAGGAAGGTGATAATCACGAGCCTTGAGCAATCAGGCGCTTGATTACAAATGTGTTTTGGGACAACAGTTAGGCCTCCCCATAGCATCATTATCACGTGGTCCCAGTGCCTCTGGCTAAAGACTAGGAAGGAGCAGCCCAGGAAGAGAGGGCTCCTTGTCCAGTGCCGCTTTGCTCCCGGACACTCTGCCTTGGTCAAGTCAGATCACCCTGAGGTCTATGTGAATCCATTTGCCTAATGTACACAACCCCTGCCTACTTCAAAATCGGAAGGGGACCCGCCCAGCTGCAGAGAAGAGGATGACTCACACACATGCATATGCCTCCCAAACAAACACACTGCACACACACACACACAGACTCGGTCATTGATGCCAACGCCCATATCGACACAGATACCCACGTGCAGTTTCACATACATGTATGTTCCCTTGGAGGTTCTTCTGGGTCTGCTTCCACACCAATATGCACATCCCTAGAGGACACAGAGACACACAGGTCTAATCATTCTTCCTTAGATAAATACACAGGCAGGGGATCCCAAGCACACTTTTGTGTGCTCCAAATCAGCAAACATGCCACGTGTAGTAGTCATGGTCCCACTGCTACCTCAGTGCTACGTAAGGGCAGGCTCATACCCTGACCCCTCAATTCAATGCACGGCCATTGGGTTCTTCCTGAGTCTGTGCGTAATAGGAGAGAGATGTTTGGAAAAAATCACGCAAAGTTGCAACGGGGACAGGTGTTAAGAAGGAGATACAGTTGTTTTGGGGACAGCTGAGATGGAGAGCTCAGTAACAGTTCTCCTAGAGAGGTCTGGTCTTGGCCAAGAGCTAAGGAAGGCTAGATCATTTCTAGAGAAAGAGAGAAGAATATGCCACTCAGGGAGAAAGGCACATGCAAAGGTCCTGGGCTGAAAGGAAACCTCTCATAATAAGAAGTTCTAAGAGAAGGTCAGTGCAGCTGGTGTGCAGAGGGAGGGCACAGCAGGTGCAGGATGAAGCTGCCAATGGGGTTAGGGGCCATACCTGAAGGGCCTTTGGGGCCCCAGTAAGGTCTTTATCCTAAGAGCATTTAGGAGCCATCGCTGTGTTTATAGCAGAGATCCGATCTGAAAGCAGGCCCACTCATACAAAAGCATTCTTGGGTAGATCGGTGCACACATATGGGCTCACAGGCACACTGTGTGTTTCTTAGAAATGCATGCTGACATGTGAGTGTTCACTTGCAAATGCTGCCTCAGTGAACACACCCACATGTATTATACACACGGTGTATATAAGTCCAGTGGGCGCTGGGAGGCGGGCAGACACTAGGCCTGTACTTGGCCAGGGATGGGGAAGTGGCGCATCCGAGCCGAGCCCTCTGACTTTGGAGCCTTGGGCTTTGCGGCTTGGCCTCATACGTGAGCCTCCAGCACTGCTCCCCCTCCTCTCAGCTCCCAGCCCTCAGTGACAAGGTGGGGTTTCTTCCAGAACACGATCATTGACTATTCTTGGCCCAGGCAAGGAGGGGAGGATGGGCAGGTCGGGTTGCATAAAGATTGCCTTGTGCCTTCCCAGAGTTGTAAGCAGAACCTCTGCCCAGCTCCAAGCCCCGAGTGCTCTTTGCAGAGAGTTGGCAACGGAGAGAAGTAAACAGAAGGATGGAAATCAGAGGTCTATGAGTCCTGGTGGGGACCGTGTGTGGCTGGAAGTAGTATGTTCCATACGGGACCACTGCGGGGAATGTGACACTGGAGGAAGGAGCAGACAAAGCCCGCAGGAAAGCCCTCTTCAGCACGAGGTCTGACTCGGTCCCCTGCTGCCTTGGCTCAGCAGACTCTCCTACACACATGTTTAAGCATTCACTAATTTCCCTCCAGTGGGAGTAGCATCTCACAACAGAGGAAGTAGCAAGTCACTTAGCAGCTACACACCCTGCCTTGTTTTCCCTCCAATGCATTAGAACTACACTTGTGTTCATTTGGCTCCTGTTGTACCAGCAAAGCCAGCAAGGGCCTGGGCCAGGCCAGAAACAGACTGAGGGAGATCAATAGGAACATTCAGGCTCACCTGTGGCCTTACATCTCAGGGTCATAAAGATGTTCCCAAGTGGATTTGCATAGTCCAAAGACTCCTATCCCCAGAGAATGTATGTCTTTAAGTGTGTGCCTTAGCAAATGTTTTCCTCCGTGATTAAAGGAATTATATAATGTAATGTGAAGCTCTTTTTTATTTTGCTTCAGGCTGTGCAAGGAACATCTTTCTTTGCTCCCAGTTGGGTGCTCTTTTGTGCTCTCTTGGCAGCAACCTGAGATCCATCAAGCGCTGAAGGCTGAGCACTGTGCTCAAGGGGGCACCGTGTTGTAACTCTCCCCTGTATTGACCCAGCTCCTGGCCATTCACAGAGGGCTTTTAAATCTGCCATCTTATCCAGTCCTCACAGATCTAAGGTCAGCCTGGTTGTTTCCATTTCACAGACAAAAAGACTGAGGTTAAAGGACTTGCCTAAGAGCATGGATTGGCCCTTGAACTTAGATCTTTATACTTATCCTCAGGAAGCAACACAAGTTGGACTGAACTCTGCTACCCTCCTGGAACCCAGGGCTATCCTTGCTGCACTTCTCTGCATTGTATCTTATAAATAAACTAGAGGCCTGGTGCACAAAATTCGTGCACAGGTAGGGTTCCTAGGCATGGCTGTGATCAGGGCCAAAAGAGGCCTTCCGGCTGCCAGCTGAGCCCTCCGCTCCCCTCCCCAGCTGCTGGCTGCCGGCCAGGGCCTTCCTTCATTCTGTGCCACCCCCTGGTGGTCAGCACACATCATAGTGAGCAGTCTGCTGGTTGAACTCCCAAGGGGACACTTTACATATTAGCCTCTTATATATATAGATTCAGGATTAACACCCCCTACTTCCTCCCCCCCCCCCCACACACACACACACATTTCCAGCACAGAAGCCACAGCTGCCAAGCTGCAGATAAATAATCCCCTGCTCCAGGGACTGTCCCCGGGATGCTTTCAATATTGACAAGCCTCAAGTGTGGGTGAGTTCATGTTAGGAGGGGGCAGTGTCCAGTTCCATCAACTATCTCTTAGAGCAAAAACTCCAAGTCTTTCTGGTCCCACATGCCAGACACCAGATGTACGTTCACTGGGTCAGAGGGATGGGATGCTGTGTCCTGCTTTCTATGCCCGCCCCACCACCGAGGCCCTTGTTCACGTTGCCTGATTCCTCTGGATCAGGATGTTTCTGTGGGAAGACCCCGTGTGATCTGCCCCCTCCCACACCTACTGGGCACAGGCCAGCCTGCTGCAGAGGGCCAGGTTCCACACCTCGATAAAAATTGCAGGCTCCCAGAAGTATTTCAGCTTCTGGAGAACGGCTCATGTTTGGCTGGAATGTTTTATTTTAGTCATAGCAATTAGATGTTCTTGTTTTGCACACGCATCTTCCAACAGAATTGGCTTTGACACAGGTGAGCAAGATTTAATGGATCTGGGGAAAAGTGGGATAGATGACAAATCCCAACCGCGGGGAGAACTCCCATTGGCAAGCCCTCCTCTTCGGAGCACCAGCTTATCTGGTTTGCTCCGCTTTCCAAAGTGTGAGTAAGTCATTAATTCATTTACTCAAAGATCTTTGAACACGTACATATGCCAGAGGTACAACCATGACCAAGGTAAACGTAATTGGTCCCTATTTTATTTATATATATATTATTGATTTTTTTTTTTTTTACAGAGAGGAAAGGAGAGAGATAGAGAGCTAGAAACATTGATGAGAGAGAAACATGGACCAGCTGCTTCCTGCACACCCCCCATTGGGGATATGCCAGCAACCAAGGTATATGCCCTTGACCGGAATTGAACCTGGGACATTTCAGTCCGTAGGCTGACGCTTTATCCACTGAGCCAAACTGGTTTTGGCTCCCTATTTTTTTTTAAGCTTCTTACAGTCGAGTGGAGAAGACAATGTAAGGGGATTATAAATGATATTTGGATCAACCTCCCTAATACCAACACCAGAGAATCTTAACTATACGGATGAACAGGGGTAAGGGAGGGGAAATTGGTTTCTGGATTTAGCCAGTGGGTTCAGAACGCTCTCTGGTACCTGTCCACTGCAGACTGGCCATTAATCATTCATAACAATGATACTATGTTCCTTTTAAAAACATGATGGGGGGGAAAAATGGAATTGAAGGTGGCTCCCAAGGTCATCGATTGTCTCAGTCGTACTCCACCCCACTGGGCTACTGTGTCCAGTTCTCAGATATCTTAAATGGGCATACTGCATTTTATTTATTTATTTATTTATTTATTTTTATTTTTATTTTTTTGTTTGTTTTTGCAAAAACTAAACCACATACATGTTACTCCCAAAACTTGAATGTCAAGAGAAAAACTCTGGCTATTAAATAATAACAACTATGCCAATGCAAAACAACAAAATGAGAAATCAGAATTATGGCATCCTGCATTTTAATCTGATGCCCCTACTAGAGAACAGGAGCTAAGATTCTGAGAAAACCCAACACTTTGTCCTGAAATAAATAATTGAAGGAGCCTGGCTTTTTAGCTTGGAAGCAATGATAGAAAGAGCCTGCATTTGTGTAGGGAAGCATTTTCCAAACAGCATGTCTAAGGGTCTATGTGGAAAACAGTAAGGCACTTTGGGAGAAAAAAGAAAAATTGTGGGAGGCAAGCCCTCGGGAAACGCTGCACGCCCAGCATTTTCTGCTGCAGCTCCCACTCCGCCCAGCATAGTAACAGTTGTGAACAAACAGTCTTGCAGGAAACATACCTGGTTGACCCGCTTTAACCTAGCCTGCCCACAGAATGCTACTGATGGGCTTCTGTCTGTTGGTGTTGACGTGTTTGTTTAGAGGGGACGCCTATGAACGGTGGGCAAACTTCCTACTCCGCTCAGCACCCGTGGCGGGACCCCGGCATGGAAAGTGAAAGTTGTCAGACGATCCGGAGCGCTGCTGGGAGGAAACCCCTTGAGCTTTTGCAAACCAAAGGGCAGATCTGGACCCGACGCACAGGCACATCTAGGCAACAAACGAACACTAGAACTTTCTAGACATCACAATAGTCTGTTTCCTGTTCCTGGAGACATTAAAGCAGACACGCAATGCCATCGGGGCCGCTGGAGGAAATGCCTGCCCCGCGTAGGACATACTGAGGGCCCACACTGAAAGGTGTGTACATGTAAGACACACGGGGGCTTACTCCAGCAAACTGTCTTTAAAACTATGTCCCAAGCTCCATTTCTCTTCTGTAGTCTGAGTCCCATCCTTTGGATTCGCTCTTACTGTGTTGCCTTCAGTGCTATGGACCAAACCCTCAAGGTCAGTCCTTGTCAGCCAATGGTCTTTGCTCTGCTCTGGGCCTCTTCATAGCCAAGCCCACCACTATGGGCCTCGGCCGCTAAGAATCCCACCCTGAGCCTCTAGGTGGGGCTTGCAAACCTCAGATGCGGCAGGGAGCTCACCGCAGAGCTTAGCAGCCCAGAGAAGGGTGGGGTCTGAGAAACCTGGCCCCACAGTCCTCTAGGCTTGTGAGACCTGCCCTCCCTGACCACATGTGTCCACAATGGAGTCCAATCACCACGTAGGTGAGGCCCATGGCATACTAAAAGGGAACAGAAAGCCAGATCCCAACTCTGCCATCTTCCTGAGCCTATGACCCGGACACATTTCTATAGCATATTTCTCTCTGGAAAAAAAGAAGTGATACACTGCATCAGAATCTTATGAAAATGAAAAGAGATTAAAAGTACATAACAGACTCGGCAGTGTGGACATTCAGGAAATGCTTATTTAATGGAGGATTGTGGCCATGACAGCAACAACTGTCTAAGAAGGTAAAGCTTTTCTTTAGAAATTCGCTGATCAGCGTGCCAAGATGTCAGACCCCTGCCAAGGCCATAAGCTGGAGACCATCTAGCTCTCTACCCCCGTTCCTTTCAAGAGTTGGTGCTTGAGAACAGAAAGTAAGGCATGTGCAGCCCTAGCCAGTTTGGCTCAGTGGATAGAGCTTTGGCCTGCAGACTGAAAGGACCCAGGTTCAATTTTAAAAATAGAATAAGGCATGTGTACTACAGCATGCTACTTTCCTCACACAGTCTAGAATCCTGTGTGACTGGTTCTGGATTTCAGTAGCTGCAGCCTCATCCATTCTAGACCCCAGTCCTCATCAAGGGGTTGGATTAGACAAGGGGTTGGATTAGAGTTGCTTCTAGCTGCTGTGAACTGTGCCTTTGAATTGGGGCGGTGAATGCAGGTATTTAAGTAATATTAAGGGTCCATAGTACTTAATGGGGAAAAAAACACCTCACCAAACTAAAACAGCATGTGTGTGTGTGTGTGTGTGTGTGTGTGTGTGTGTATACATGGCAACACACAATATACACAAGGGGCTTTGAAATCATTTAAATTGCCCCCCACGGTTGCGCCTGAATACACGTCTGGCAAATAAGGAGTTGGACCCAGACTGAAAGAGTGAGATAAGCCCTGACCTCCGAATGGGAAGAGTGGGTCCGAGTCCCGGCCCTGACTCTGAGGGCAGAGCTGCCTCCCCATCTCTGGGGGGGGGGTGTAGGGGGGGTGGCACCATCCCTTTCCACCTTCACGTGAGGGGCATGGTTCCAACATCTCTGGGCACCGTGTTTTGGGAAAGAGCCAAGAGCCTCTGATCTATTTTCGTTGGATGTGCATGCTCTCCAGGAGGATTACCATCGGGCTGACTCAACCCGGGCTTATTCCTTTTGTTTGATCGCTCTGCTTTCCTAAGGCTCTGCGGCCAATTTTAGCCCTTCTTGGATTAAGGGAGTGTCCAAATGAAGG